CCGCGGCCGGTATGCGCGGCGCGTGGGATAGCGCCGCCCAGCGGGCGGGAGAGGCTGCGAGAGGCCAACCGCGGCGGCGAAGGCGGCACCGCGGAACGGAGAGTGCGGGAGCTCGGGGCTGGTTTGCTGCCGCGCTTCCTCTGCACGGGGAGAAGCTGTTTCCTTTTCGGGGGCTAACACTGGAGGGAGTGCTGCTCAGGCTGGCACGGAACGGCATTCCCCACGAGAAGATACAGTAATCTCAAGGGAGACACAAATCCTGCCAGGGCGGTTAAGGAGGCATGTCGTGGTGCACATGCAGTGGTTTGGGAAGAGGCCGTATGGAAATGGTACTAAGCCTAGAAGTGCTTTAGGAAACCTGCACACCGGGAAGATTGCCCTTCGCGGGGGAGCAGACAGGGTAACAGAAGTATGCCACATAAGAAGACGGACTTCCAGCAGGAGAATTACTTGTGTTAAGGTGAATAGATTAGGGGTTTCAATATTCTCAGACAATAGTCTCCTAACAATAGCAGAGTTTACTTTTTTAAGGAGCAGGTGTTCTGCTATTGTGTAAACACAATTCTGTGTAAATTCTATGTGCTCTGAACAATTATAGTTTGTTTTTGTTTTTGTTTGTTATTTTTTTACATAAACTTCCTTTTGGTCGCAATGACACCTGCAGAAAACAAATCTGACCAACCAGTTTCTGCGCCTTCTGATCAATTCCAAATTCTCTTTACTATTGAACTACTGCAGCAAGCACACTTCAACACTAGATGCATGGAAAGACCTGCATTTCTGGAACAAAAAAGCAGTGATGTTTCAGCATCTGCGTTTTGATGATACATAACACTGGAGACTTGATGATCCTGCTGTATTTATTGAGCAGCAGTCTAAAAGAGCCAAACCAGGGGAACTAAGGCAAATGTTAAAGAAACACTGAAGTTGAGATTTTAATTAATTAAAGGTCAGCACACTTAAAATTTATTCATTTAAGGGAGTTACCCTGTATTCCCACAGCAATCCCCACTCTGCTCTTGCACAGATCAAAGAATTCAAGTTACTGTTTATTTGCTGATGCATACAAATTACATAACTGAATGTTATACCTTTTTGCAATTGGGTCTTGGTCTTTTAACACTTTATCAACACTTCTCTGTATATTTCCTATGTTCTCCCACATTTCTGCTGAAGCAGAAATAAAGGTGGTTTTCTCTAATCTTTGTTCTAAGTTACTGAAAGCTACATTTCCTTTCAAGCTTGGAAACTTTATTCAGCTAGCAACATTTGTTGCTAAACTGTCACAAAATACTTTCAGACACTCCGTAAACCAACATATCAGAACAGTATTACAACTTCATGAAAATACTTTCCCAAGGATACTTTTACAAAGTTTTGGCTTCCAAATACTACTGCGCCTGCAATCTGTTCTCAAAACAGGAAAACATGTTTTGGAAAGGTCTGAAAAATGATTCCCAGACAAGTCTGTGAGGAGGATGAAAAAGCTGCAGTTTCAGAACCTTGCACACAAACCCCACTTGTAGCCTGTCGAAGGATCTTTCCTGCTCAAAATGTTCCTCACCTGAAAAGCATTGGGATTTTGCTGGTAGAAAAAAAAAGTTCTTTCCTAGTGAATGAGGATGGTTAAATGAGTTGAATCTTCTTGTTTCTGATAGGTTTTCATGATTTTGCCTAATGTATTTCCAGAATCTTTCCCTCAGTTGAACAATAACCTTTGTATTTCCATATATCCAATCCAGGGAGCTGTGATCTGAGAACTCTTTCACAATACTATCAAACAAACTGCACTGCTTTCTGCCTCCTGCCTCTGCATTTTAATCCCAATCTAAAATATATTTCCCCTTTTATTTACATATATTTTCTCATTTACTAATTAATCTCTTTGGTTATGCAAACTCCATCCACCAGAATGCTGGAACACTTATTTTTTTCCTATCGACTTTAGGCATGTTCATTTTCACTTTTATACTAAATATGTGCCTTTCTTCCCACTGGACTTCTTTCCTCAACTCTTCCTTGAGGAAAACGTGGTATTATTAAAAACAAAATGCATATTTCTCTTGCACTTTAAAGGTACCTTTTCACAACTGGAGGGCAAGGAAAACCAGCACATATTCTCTTTGACTCTGCTATGCTACATATATTCCTGGACACAGACTTATGAAATCCCGATTTTAGCACAATGCCTCTGGTATGCCTAGGATTCACTGTGCCTAAGATTTTATCTTAAAGTCACTACCACAAAGGTTTTAAATTAGCATCTATCTTACTAAACTAAAATGTATCCAGACAGCAGACTGCAGTTAAATACCTACCTCAGACGTGGAAAAGGGAGCATAAATGCACTGTTCAGACATATGAAACATCTAAAAATATGCTTCTTAAGGAACAGAGAAAGAACTAGGTACCAATATTTGCCTTTGGTAGCTGTGCTGCAGGATCGTAAATGCACCTAGTTACAATTTTATGCTTTGTATTTAGCATAAACTGATGTCATTGTAAGGTAACAACAGTCTGTCTCTTAGGGGAAAGGAGCTGAAAAATAAGGATGCAAAAACTACCTTTCTTTTCCTGCTCATTTGAAGAGGTGCCAGTAAATCTAGCTCCCTATTTTCACTTCAAGATGCTCAAGATCACACATGGAATTCAGAATTGCTTTGAAGATACTGTGAAGGATTTCTGATTCAAAACGAATATCCTTGTCTGTGTTAACACTGTAGGGCTATTGACAAGAAAGAAAAAAAAAATAATCCCAAATTATCCATGTGACTGGTTAAACAGCACAGCATCTTATTCAAGAGGCATTTCCCTAAATCCATCTTCTTAACTCTAATAAACAAGACCTTGAGATCAACCACAGCTTTGTTTTCTCCCTCAAAACAATGTAATTGAGCTTGTACCCCTGATTGCTAGCAAAGAAGCAAAGGTTGAGCTCAGAGTGGACAAGCCTTCCCTTGAGGCAAGAAAAGTCAGCAGTGCCAGAGGCTGTGGGCTACATGGAAAAGGAGGAAACAGAGAAGAGTACAAGAAACCACAGTGCTATTCAAAGTTACGGGGAAGAGAAGAAGTGGAGACAAGGAAAAAGTCTTTACAGCAAACCTAGGAGTTTGACTAGTACAACAGGGCGAGTGATATAGCAGGGAAAATAAAAGACCACATACAATACTGCATCTGTTTTCAACTTTTGCAGGTTCCAAATCCACATAAACATTTAGGTATTCAGTTGTTGATTAAGTGCTTAAGCTGTAGTTTATTAACCTGAGTGCCATTTTCAATCTGGCTGTAAGTCAAAAAGTCTGTTTGTACTAGTAAACACAAAGGATCTGTGCACATTCTCTGGCTCTGACAATAAATGTCCTTGTGTGTTCTGCATTCATATGGCTTGAACTGTCTTCCCCTCCAATGATGCTGCCTATGGGGATGTGTCCATGCTGTCCCCAGCTAAACCCTGGCACCTTGTGGAAAAGTACGGTGTGGCCTTGGTGGAAACAATGCTGGAGACTATCAGCAATGACACTGTGCCAGCACTCAAGCCCATTCCCTGGCACTGTTTCGTTTACTAAAATGGGTCAACAGATCCGCGTAACACATGCAACAGCTACTCTCCAAAGGACAAAATAACCTGTGTCCTTTGAACATCAATGAGTTGGAACCAAAGCCTTAAGGTTTTAAAAGCACAGAAAGAGAGCAGCTGAGACAAGTGGTACCGCCGACCCTTCCTAGAAACAGAGCGCCAGGGGAGCTGAAAGTGTTAGCTGGGTCCCGGCAGCAGTGGGGAGTAGGACTTCAAGTGCGCGCTGTATGTCACCAACCCCAAAGCTAGAAGTACACGGCACAAACCTGAGGTGACAGGCTTTCCCCCATCAGCTCACCGAGAGGCCGCCAGAGCCTGCCTCCCTCCCCGGCTCTGCCGATCCCAGAGCCCTATCTCCGCCGTCATCGCCAGCAAGCTGCGACCCCGGGGCCGCCCTATGAACGCCGGCGGCCAAAGGCCGCTGCGCGACCGCACGTGGGGGCCTGGCCCGCTCTCCCGCCCCGCCCGGCATTGCCGAGGCCCCCCCTTCCCCCGCAGATAACCGCGGCTCCCGCCTTTGCCCCTGCTTTTCTCACACCCGGCCAGCACGGACCAGGCCCCAGCTCCGCAGCCGTTCTCCAAGCGCTGGTTGCCTTTCGCTGCGGCACCAGTGAGCGAGCGAGGATGGCTCAGAAACCCGGGAGCTTTCTGCAGGAGGCCTCTCACCAAGTCGTCGCCGGAGGCTCGGCGGGTAAGTGGCGCGTTACTCCTGTGCAGGGAGGGTCTGCCCGTCCCTCGCCGGCACTCCGCCAAGCTGAGCTGAAGACGGCCCCGCCGCCGCCCGCCTCCCCGCGCTCTCCTCAGGCTCAGGAGCGGTGGCGTGGAAAGGCCTGGTTCACTGGCAGCTCCTCCCCCGGCGAGAGGCGCAGGCGGGCGGACCCGTGATGTGGCCCGGGGGTCCTGGGGGAGGGTGCGACGCGGCGGTAGCTGGTGTGATGATGCTCGGCGCCCCGCTGGGGTGAGGGGTCCCTTCCCGGCCCTGCGTTGTATCTCTGTTAAACACACCGTACAGCCCCTCGGATGATAAGGGGGGCAGGAGGGCCCCCTCCAACGGTAACGGCCAGTGGTGTCCCCTTCGGTGGGTGCTAGTTTCCTTACTCGGAGCGGGCTCGGAGCTGCCGCAGCCGCCGCTGGCGCTTTCCCTGTTTCGGACGTGTTCTCTGTAGGCTCCTCGCTACTGTGTCGTGGAGGAACTCACGCAGGGCTACAGTGGAAATGTGCTTCTGTATTTTAAAACTTTAAAGAGGTTACTGATTTATCACGTTATTTGTACTTCGAACTATAAGTGTCAAAAGGGTATGCATCTGTTTAGCAATGAAAGTATTACTAGTTAATTTTTTGTTTGTTTCCTTTACCTGAAACATTTAAGTTAGCTTGCAGTGCAGGCAACATTTACAAAATATCCTACTCTTCCAGTGTATATATGTAAATCCTGTGAGGATTTCAACTATGCAATGTGTTCTTAAGTGTTCTTTAGTGCCTCTTTTGGGGTCCAAATGCTGTTTGCCGTGTTTTACATGAGAGGAAAGCTGCACAGTAATGTTGCTGTGTCTTACGTAATGCTTCAGTGTAATGCGTGTAAGCAAAATTCTCCTGTGGGTGAGTCCTTCATGGCTGTGATGCTGCGTGTGAGCTGGTGTTTTGTTCCCTCTAATTCCCTTCTGCTAATTCCACTTTTATGCATTCCTGCCACCAATATATATTTGAGCGCTTCCCTTTAATGCTCATGACTGCATGTCCTTTGTTTTCAGCATTCTGCTTTGATACAGAGAGATTTCACAGCAGAAGCGGAGATGTGCTGTCCTGTCCCTTCCAGTGTATTGTATGCCTATGTTTAGCTCCTGCAGCTGTGGAGATTCTAAAGCTTTTTTAGATTCTGCTTGGTACTACCCCCTTCTTCCCTTAGGAGAGAAAGGGAGGCTTTAATCTGTACTAGCCCATTGAAGGCCTTTCATACATGAAGGGATAATGAGTTGTTTTGCTGCCAGATGTTTTTCAAGATGACATATTTATCTGCCCGTAGCAGTGGGCCTGTGCCTTGATGATTCAGATTGATCTAACAGTATCTTTCCATTCTCTGGCAGTAGACAGTTTGCAGGCTTTCTTTGCTCTTAGAAGGACAGACAGTTTAGATAACACACTGGAAAGAAAACTGTCATTTAGATAAAGGACAAAGTTTTACAGAAGGGCTAGAATTGAGAAAAGTGTTTGGTGGTATAGGGAAAAGGCAGCATGAAAACTATTTGCTGATCTGATAGGCATAGACATTAAGGTGAAAGAATTTTCAGTTTAACAAGACAACTGATCTGCACCTAGCACTTTTTTAAGGTATAATGTAGGATGCCTATTGAATCTCGTGCAGAGGCATACTCTTAGAAGATGCTTCCATCCTTTTGCTTAGTCTTGTTTCAGGCATGTTCCTCAGCTCCATCACTAACCAACCTTAAATCTGTACAGAAATTCTTACTGGTTTTGAAATAAACCAGGAAGACTTGTTCTTTAAGTCTGAACAACACTAACACTGTACTAGATGGATTAGTGAATGTGTGACTTAAAGTGGCATTAGAGGGAAATGGCTCAAGCTTGAAAACTTGCTTCTCAGATGCTTAAACCTCAATGGTGGTTTTCTTGGTGATTTGTTGAGAAGGTAGAAGAGGAAATCTGTAGCTTTGAGGTCTACAGTCTAAAGGTTAAATTTCTCAGGCAAGTGTGGATCCAACATGGAAAAGTTGGAAGCAGGAAGGAAAGGATGGAGAAACGAGTTGTTGAGGGTGTACATGAGTGTTGTATTTCATCCTAGTGTGGGCTTTGATTGACAGACTTAGTTTCCCAGTATCACTTTAGACACCCTGTATTGCTTTTGGCTGCCTCTGAAGAAGGACACAGGGCTTTTACAGGTGCTTTGTTATATTTACTGGTTTCATGTGAATGTCCCAGATATCCTCGAGTGGCTTTGCTGCCTGTACCAGAGCCTAGTATTTAGAAGATTAAAAAAAAAATAATAATTGTGGTGAACTAATGTTTAGATTTTTAAGAAGTTCTGATCATCTTAACTCATACAGTTAAGCACAAGGAATGTATGAAGGTGTTTGTAAGAAAGGTGCAGTAAGTTGATTTCTTTGACAAAGCAATGATAGGAAAGTAGCAAGGTAGTAGAGGAATGAGCTGCACAGCAGAATATGTTATTAAAAGGTAAGAAATGTTTTCTGTGTAGCTAAAATGAGAGGTTATTTAGCATCTGCATGTCTGATGCAAAAGGATCTGATAAGAAGCGATTCTGCTAGGTCAAGTGGAAAATGATTAGAGACAAGCCAGAGCTGTCAGAACAGGAAGAAAGGGGTTTTTTAAGCTTTACGGAAGATGACAGGACTTGTTCATAGACTTAATAAAGACAGGGGAAGGGGAAAGAAAAAAATCAAGCATGACCTCTCATCTACAGGACCGATAAAATGGAGGATACTGGCATGCTGAAGGAAAGAGAAATGAAAGTATTCAGTGTTGTAAGGGAAAAGATTTAAACATACCATTTCTAAGGGAAAGAAAACTTGGATGGCTCTCTGCTGTAATTGAATGGTAAATCTCAAGTATGACAGGACCTTGTGCATACTTCATGTCTGTGGGTAGAGGTCCATCTGCTTCCACGTGACTCATAATTTGACTTCATATTGAAAGCTCTGCTTCCTGAGCATGTACTCAATCTTAAATCTCATCAAAGTCTTACTTGGTCTTGGTTTATGGTCTTTCTGCTGGCATTCAGTTTGCTCCCATTTTTCAGATTCCTGAATGGAGGTTAATAGCAGGATTGAGAATACTTGGTTTTGTTCACTTGCCTGGGTGCATGACAATACTGAAGAGCAAGACTGAAATGCAATTGGGGCGCTTCGTTAGTAAGTTTCATCCCTTCTAGTACAGTGAATTGCAGACATACTCCTTTTCCCTAGTGGTTAACTAGTAAACCAAGGCATGTGTGGAATTTGTAGGAGGTAAACAGAAAATAAAATCTAAACTAAGAATCACTGTGGAAATAACAACTTGAGAATCTTTAATTGATTTCCTTCGAGTTACAGCAGTTCTTTAAAAAGGTAGTTGAGAAGTTCAGTCAATGCAGGGTTCAAGTTACAGGAAGAATTGTTTCACTGATTCCCAAAGATTTAAAAAATCCTTGGTTTGTCTGCCTGTGTGGAAAAAGACAGGAATTGTTGCATACAAAGGCAATGGACATTTCTGTCCTCACGAAGAGGAACTGAATATTGTAAAGTATGTTGTGTGATAGCCCGGTTGATTTGCCAAGACATCCTTGTAACAAAGTCTTGAGTCAGTTTAAATGATGAAGTGCAAATGTCATCAAAACAATTGCATGGATGACCCTTGCCTGAGTGAAGGGAAGTAGCTGAATATAACTACCCCAAAACTTCTAGGGTGCTGCTGCTTGGTATAAGTGTGTTCTTGTTTTTCTGTAAGTAGGAAACAAAGGCTGAAAATGGTGACAGCTAAAACCACAAGTAACATAATTTCATTTCTATTTGGTTTGTATGATCACCTCTTTCTTCTGTACATGTGAAAATAAATATATAAATATTTTTAATTTTGAGGTTAAAATTTTGAAGAGTTTATTTAACATATCTATATGACATTTTTCAAATCTGTAATACTGAACTCGTCTTTAAGTATTTTTCTGCTGTAATTAAGAGTTTCTTTTTTTCTAATTCCATTTAATATATGAACATGGTCTGTTGGCTCTCTCTTATATGGGAGAGGTAGAATAAAAAGAGCTTTAAAAAATTAAGATAATCAGAGGTGGCCTTTTTCCCCCTTTTTCTTTATATTGTCATGAAAAAGCAGAGTTTCTACCTGCTTTTTGGCCCTCTTGGTTTCAATATTTATTTATTTATTTATTTATGTATTTATTTATTTACTTATTTTTAAAGGCTAGGTTTCCACCTGCATTGAAATCTAATAGGATTTAAGAGTCTAATTATCTTAAACTCATTTGAAAGTCCAAACCTTTTCTTTTGAAAGGTATTTTAATTCGGGAATAGACAAAGTTCATTATTCCGCATAGCAGCAACTCCTTTAAACCACATTGATAAGCAGGTAAGCCAATACAGTAAGGCTGTCAGATGCAACTACAGTATTAAAAACAGTGTTTGGAATTGCCATCACTAGAGGCATTAGGCAGACAAATGTCATTACAATGTATGGTAGCCAGCATACTCTGTGAAACACTTCAGGTTATTTGGTCCCTGTGAATGAGAGGACTGTGATACATATAGAGGAAGCACTTTGAACAGCAGGAGAATTGATCAATTCTCCCTCCCCCAGGGTTTGGCTAATTTGTTTTGATTATTTTGCTGACATTTTCTGGGAATTTAAGTTAGGGTGACTGTCCTATGTTAAGTGCTTTTTTTTCTTGCTTTTTAAGCTATGCGATTGGCATTACTGTGTTTATTGTTTCATGACATGTTACTAAATTACTCACTGCTCATAGGTAATTTCAACTAGCTAAATAGTCAGCTAAACAACATAACTATATTGACTTGAAACCATAGTATTTTAAGGTGCTTAAATCTTCCTCTTTCTGAAGTCTCTTAAGGCTGAAATATTACCTATGACAACAGCGTGTGCTTGCTGCCTGTATTCGGCATTTTGGATCAACAAAACCTGTTTAGATTAAAAAGTGAAGGCTGAGAAGCAGTTAAATAGTATTAGTTTCAAGGAAACATCCTACATGTTCAGGTACCCCAAGGGTTTTGAACTTGCTCAAACCAGTGAAGCCAATTTTCTCTGCTAGGCTGAGAAATTGATAGTGTGCTACCTGGTATTGTACTTAGAGCTTTGGAGGAGAGTTGCTTGGTTGGCAGTGTGGTCAGGAGAACGTTAGGTGAGAGATCAAAGAGACCATAGAAGACCAAAAGTAGATTGCATGTAAACTGAGACATTGGATATCCTGAACCTTCTCAAGTGTGTTCCCAGGGATGGGGAGGACATAGTAACTGTCAGGAAGTTAAGACTGGGGAAGATTTGAACATCTCTGCTCAGACAGCCATCCCCCATGTGGTGTGTTTAATGAAACGTGTGAGAAAGAAAATGTAAAATACATTTTCAAGGTCTATGCAACCACTATTACTTTCATTGTTAAACAGTTCAGTGAGGGAGTACAGTATCTGGGACAGTTTGACTTCAGTGGGTTACTGTGATAAGGAACAGTCACCAGAGAAGCTCACAAAAACTGATGCTAGTTTGAGGTCAGTGTGGTCAAATTGCTGCCTTTGGTCTCCTGGATATTTAAAAGCAAGACAAAATGATATTTTTCATCCAATGAGAATGTACCTCCATGCTGCAGATGAGTGCAGCTAACAGCTAGCTGGGGGTATGCAGAATGCCATGTAATTAACCAGTTGCAGTTACCTTGTGAACATTCCTCTGCGAAAATTAAGAGTATCTCCCCACCTACAGCATTTCAAACTTGAATTCTGTAAATAACAGTTTTCAGTCTCTAAGCCTCCCCTTTTCTACCAGCTGGTAATGGTAAAAATTCACTCCTGAATCTGAAAGGTAAATTGGACTGTTTGCTTCTTGTATGTCTTCCCTAAATAAAA